GTTTATGTGATCTCATCCCCTCCCAGAAGAGCAGACTGTTTTTTTTTCTGGGCGCACGTTTTGGCGGTTGGGGGCCTCCTTTTTTGGGGAGGAGTGTGCAGGAGGCAGCTGATCGATGTTTCTATCTCTTCCTCTCCCCTCCTCTCTCTCTAAAATCAATACAAACATTTTTAAAAAAGAAAAAAAGAAAAAGCCCCAAGACCTAAACATATTTAAAAAAAAAAAAAAAAGACATCTCCATCATCTCTAAGATGCCCATTTACCCGCTTCCATCCATCCCAGTGAAAAATCACTGTTGTGCCGAAACCGGTTTGGCTCAGTGGATAGAGCGTCGGCTTGCGGACTGAGGGGTCCCGGGTTCGATTCCGGTCAAGGGCATGTACCTGGGTTGCGGGCACATCCCCAGTGGGAGATGTGCGGGAGGCAGCTGATCGATGTTTCTCTCTCATCGATGTTTCTGACTCTCTATCTCTCTCCCTTCCTCTCTGTAAAAAATCAATAAAAATATATTTTAAAAAAATCACTGTTGTGTTGTCTGGAGCAACTGATGGTGTGTGTGTGTGTGTGTGTGTGTGTGTGTGTGTGTGTGTGTGTCTTATTCCTGTGGTGCTAGTGTAGGGAGGAAGGCAAGAAGCCCTAATACGGTGAGATGGAGCATACAAAAAGAAGACCAGGCCCTAACTGATCTGGCTCGGTGGATAGAGTGTTCGCCTGCGGACTGAAGGGTCCCAGGTTCGATTCCAATCAAAGGCATATACCTTGGTTGTGGGCATATCCCCAGTAAGAGGTGTGCAGGAGGCAGCTGATCGATGTTTCTCTCTCATCTGTGTTTCTAACTGTCTATCCCTCTCCCTTCCTCTCTGTAAAAAATCAATAAAATATATTTTTTAAAAAAGACTAGGTTTTGAAGAAGAATGTGGTACACAGTAGTCCCCAGGGATCTTTTGAAATGTAGAGGCCTTTGTAGCATTGTTCATTTATTATTTTCTTCATTTCTTCCAAATGGGCCAGCCAGGCCTGGTGTATGACTTGCCCTGCTTTATTCTTCATCCTTCCATACTCCAAGGTCATGGCCTCCCAAAGTTACCTGCGTTCAGCTAGCCCTGAGGGCACTTTTTCTGGTCACCTTGTTGTATGTGTGTGTGGTTTGTTTGTTTATTGTTATTTTTTGTTATTTATTTTTTGTTTTGGTAAAACTCATATAACATAAAAACTCACTCATTTAAAGTATACATACAGTTCAGCCAGTGTGGCTCAGCTGGTGGAGCGTCCAGTACACTGAAAGGTTGCAGGTTTGATTCCAGGTCAGGGTACATACCTAGGTTGTGGGTTTGACCCCCTGTCAACCGATAGCTCTCTCTTGCATTGATGTTTCTCTCTCTCTCTTTCTCTCACTCTTCCTTCCCCTCTCTCTAGTATTAATAAGCATATCCTTGGGTGAGGATTTAAAAAATAAATTAAGCTGGCTGGTGTGCTCAGTGGATTGAGCGTTGCTCCATGCACCAAGAGGTCACTGGTTCGATTCCTGGTAAGGCATTAAATGAATTAATTAATTTAAAAAATAAAGTGTACAATTCAATGGTATGTAGTACATTCCCAATGTTGTTATGTATTCTTTATCTATTTCCAGAACATTTCTATAACCTCAAGAGGAAATCCTGTTCCCATTAGCAGTCACTCTCCATTCCCCTTCTATCCCAGCCCCTAGCAACTACTCTTTCTGTCTCTATAAAGTTACCTGCTTTATAAGTAGAATTATACAATACAGGATCTTTTATGAATGACTTCTTTCATTCCATGTGATGTTTTAGAGGTTCATCTACATTGTAGCATGCATCAGTATTTCATTGTTTTTATAGCTGCATAATACTCCATAGTGTGGACATACCACATTTTGTTTATCCATTCACCAGCTGATGACATTGGAGTTGGACCCACCTTTTGGCTATTTTGGATAGTGCTGCTATGTGAACCCCTGTGTTCATTTCTTTGGGCTCGATACCAGGAGCAAAATTGCTGGATCATATGGCTGTCCTGTATCCTTGATCACGTAATCACCACTCAACACTGCTTGGTCTGTTTATTAGTGGAAATGCCTTGATGGTGGGAACCATGTCTTATATGTCTAGAACACAGGCTACACAGAGGAAATAAGTGTTCAAGAAATATGGCCAGGTAGGGAGGGATGGATAGAGTGTGGAAAAGCTCTCTAGAACTTGCAGTATGGCAGGTGGGAAGTCTCATCTATGGACAGGTCGGTCCATAGCCTTTTTGGGGAGACTTGTGGGACTGCTGGGGGCAGGAGTTGGCTGGCCTTGTCTGGAAGGCTGCTTTTTCAGTCTGCCAGGAGGTGTCTGCATCTGCCTTTTTGTCCCATGAAGGTTTTGCCATTTGGCCTGGGGTGGGGGCAGGTCCTGTCTTCCCCTTGGCCCTTCTAGCAGTCCCACAACTTGAGAAACTGTCCTCGAGGGGCTGTGCTCCCCCACCACCCCTCGTATTATATAACTTGTTTGTTCCAACTTCTCTTTTCTGCAACCAAGGGGGGAAAATGAAAGAGAAAAGCTTATTCTCTTTCCTTCCTGTCTCCAGGGATCAACAAAAAACCCGTTGCCTAGTAGAGACGGTCGTTAATGACTGAGCCGAACCTCCGGGATAGAGGAAGCATGGCTGCCTCAGCCAGGGCTTGAGGAGGGGAGGTGGAGACTGGCTGCAGGCTCAGTCACACAAAAGACACTTGTCCTCTAGTGGGTCCCCTCCCTGCTCCACCTTCGGCCCTCCGTGAGGTTCAGGTTCCTGGAGGGAGAAGAGGTTTGAAACTGTGCAGGGTGTTAGGGGGAAGAGGTACTCGCCAGGGAGTTGAACCTCCCCAGCTAAAATTCCATCGCTATGAGGTACCTAGCTGGCAGAGTTCCAGAGGAGCCC